ATACTGTTGGCCCAGTTACTTGTTTCTTATCGGCTAGCTCTGCCTTTAATTATTAACCCATTTCTGCTGATCTATGTATTTCTCTTACCAGGGAGCCGGCGGCATACTGCTTTCTTCAGACTCTCCATCTTGACTCCTCCTTCCTACTTCCTATTTCCTCCTTGTCTCCTAGTCCCTCCTATCTTCCTTTCCTATTGGCCAACAGTGCTTTATTATTAACCAGTATGAGAAACATATACAGAATGACATCTCCCATCAGCTCCTCCTGTTTCCATATCAGGATTTGTAATTGGCTTGATCTTGGCCAAATAATCTCATTTGTTGTGAGTTCCTGAGTGCAAGGGCCATGCCATGTTAGGAGGACAACAGTCTTCCTCTTTATCTGGCTCTTACATCCTTTCCATCCCTCTTCTGTGATGTTCTCCTATGCCTTGGTGGGTGTATGGAAGAGAAATGTGATGTTCTATCTGTGGCTGAGCATTCTTGGTCATTTATTCTTACACTTTGAACACTCTCGAGTCTCTGCCTTCACTACTACCCCTCTGGTACAACAGAGAAGTAATTGTCTTACAAGACTCAACCAGGTCTGCTTAATTCCTCTTACATCTTGCCCTTCTGATCCAGTGCTTCCTCTGTTTAAGGATAAAGTTCCTGTCAATAGTATGAAAATTGGCTTGGGGTTACTGGACCCCACTTATTTGTTCCTCTCTCCAGCATGACCACATCAAATAAATCTCTATCTGCTTCACACCATTCCCAGCAGAGGATCAGCATATAGTTTCTTATTTTGGGAATCTGAGTAGGCTAGTAGGAAATCCTGAGTAATCTACCTAAGATCACACAACTATTAGGTACCAGAAACATGGATCTAGCACCCCACCTCACCATCACAGATAACTGTCCGTCCCATAAGGTATTGTTCTTCTGTGAGTCCAAATGAGGAATCGATGCTTTTTAAACAAAAGTACCAAGTGCCTAATTCAGACTTGTGCTTATTTTCTGTGCCCAAATTCTTCATTTTTAAGGTAGGATTATGAACAGATGGACAGTGGCTAAGGCAAAAAGATCAAGAGATTGAAGCTGTGTGCTATTCTGTGGTATTTTGACATGTGAATCTCCAGGGAAGTGCTGATTTGTCGATGAGAAGCATAAGTGGGTCCTTGAAAGTATTGCATGGTGTAAGAAGCCTTAAGTATTCTCAGGATGAGAAATCTTACACACACACACACACACACACACACACACACACACCCCACAAAACATTTACTTATTGTTGCTACTGGCAAGAGCAGATCTCGCCAAAGAGTTGTGCTCGGTGATGAAAGTATGATTAGGAACATTGCTCAACAACTGGTGTTATTGCTCAGTTGAGTTGTGGCTGGTTCACACACCACCAGCCTCAAGAGCCTACTTACACAAGAAGCCACAGAGTATAGCTTGACCATGCTGGAGCTCCTATAGCTCTAATTACTTCTAAATATTAACATGTAAATATCACCCTGCCTAAGCACATCTGTGATAGGAAACGGTGGCAACCATTGATGCAGATGTATGCTTTCTAAGGAGAACCAACAGGTCTAGAAGGTTATAAACTACTCCACAGCACGTAGTACAGTTGTGCAAGTCAGTCCATCACTCAACACACTTGGTACCTGCAAGCTCTAACTCTACATGAAACTAACCTCACAGGCAAATGTGTGTCCAGTGAGCCCAGACTCTAAGAGGCTGACCAGTCTGTGTCAGTGTCTCTACCTAAACTGTATTCATAAAACTTCAAAACCTTTTTTTCTTGTGAGTGGGCAGAACTGATTACCAACTGCATTTTAAAGAACATTTTAGATCTGGGGTTTTTTTCCCATTCCCAGTCTTCTTCAATTGTCTTTGTGAATTTACAGGCATTTGGAAAACATCCTTGACTTGATCCTATATTAAGAATAAAGAAGATAAGTTCATACGGGGGGGGGGGGGGGAAATAACAAAGGAGGGACTTTCCTTCAATACCTTTGAAAAAAGTGACATTTGCATAAGCCATATTTAACCAGAATCTTTGTTTTATGTTTTTCCTTTCTAAGGGCTTTGGTAGACTCCTTCCCATTCTCCACCCTTCCACTAATCAGAGAACAAAGGCTTTAGGATGCCTCTTAGGGATACTTCCTGGCTCATCATCTTTGTGCCTGGATAATTACATTTAATGACTGGCATCTTCTGCTTCCATTTCTCCTCCCTCTTAAATTATCAGATATGCTCATCTTCTAGATGCCACTGTGACTCTGTTGCTCTCCCTTTCCAAAGGCTTGTACAAGGTTCCTGAGTTTTAATTTGAAATTTAAAGCTATATGGTGGCATTTTCATCTCTGCTTTCCTTTAAGCCAGCAATGTTTGTTTGCATAGCAACAGGCCCCAGTAACATTTCTTTCATTCCTTCTTCTTTCTTTTAAACGTTTATTCTTCTCTCATACATTGCATCCTGACTACAGTTTTCCCTCCCTCCACTTCTCCCAGTCCCTGCCCCTACCTCTCCTCTCACCCAGATCCACTTCACCTCCATTTCCTTTAAAAAGAGAAAAAGGAGCAGGCCTCCCAGGGATAGCCGCAGAACATGGCCTAATAAGATAAAATAAGACTGGGCACAAATCCTCATATCAAGACGGGACCAGGCAACCCAGCAGGAGGAAAAGGGTCCCAAGCAAAAGTGTCAGAGACACATCCACTCCCATTCTTGGGAGTCCCATAAAAACACCAAGCTATACAACCATATGGTGTATGCAAAGGATATAGCTTAAACCCATACGAGGTCCATGTTTGTCATTTTAGTCTCTGTGAGACCCTATGAGCCCTGCTTATTTGATTCTGTAGGCTGTGTTCTTGTAGTGTTCTAGACCCCTCTGGCTCCTCAATCCTTCCTCCCCCTCTTCTATAGGATTCCCATGGCTCTGCTTGTTGTTGGGCTATGGGTCTCCGTATCTGCCCATCAGTTTCTGGATGGTGCCTCTTTTATAACAACTGACACTGATCTATGAGTATAGCAGTGCATCATTAGGTATCTATCTGTCTATCTATCTGCCAACTGTATTTGGAAATATGGGTCTCTCAGGGAAGGGAAAACAGAATAGATTTTGTGAGTAGACTGGGGGACTAGTAGGGATTGGAACAGGAAAGATCAGATGGGATGAGAGGGACAGAGGGAGACAGAACTGGAAAGGAAGACTGGGATTGGGAGCATTTGGAGGGTGATGTAGAAATCTAATAGAAACTCCCTGGAACTCTAGTGAAGTCTCCTAGCAATGGGGGGGGGGGGTAATGCAGAGCCTGACTGGACACCTTCTATGACTAGGCAAATCTCCTAGCAGTGTGAAGGTGGGGTTTAAATGAATTCACCAGTCCCAAGATAAATTATAAATAGGTGTTTATTAGGGAAAACACACAGATAAGAGTAAATAACCACTTTGGTCTTCCAGCTCCAGAAGATGTAGTCTTTGTCTTTCTGGTGCTCTCTGCATCCCAAGAGAGCACAAGCCAGCCCCTTCTCTACCTTGATGGGTCATGTCTGCACTTGAAACCACGCCCAAAAGGTGTGGCTACCACTACAAGTTCACTGGCAAGGCAAGATGCCACTGCAGCAGTGGGATTGGGACATCAAACCAGCCACAAACCTTGGACCTACAATGTGTCCTGCCTGCAAGATGTGCTGGGATATGGTAGTATAGAACTTGTAGGAGTGGCCAATCAATGACTGTTATAACTTGAGATCCAATCCACAAGAGGGAGCCAATGCCTGACACTACCATGGCCAGGGACCAGAGTTAGGACAACCCAGAGTCCCAGGATAGAACCAAATATGACTGGCAGTAACATTTCTTTCAATAATAAAGATTAAAGTTTTGAGTTCATGAAGCAGTTTCAAAACATCACAATAACCCTTGACAAACATCACAATAACCCTAGGATGGAAATAGGTAGACTTCCTTATTTTACAGGCAAATAAACTAAATCTCAAAGTAATAAACTCTACAGTCTTTGAGGAGATTTATCTCATCATTGCAATAAAATTCTTAAAACCACATATTAATCTTATGTTGTGAATAGAAGACTGTATTTTGAAATCTGCGTCTCTTTCATTTTGGTTCCTTGTCCCTGATGTCTTAAGTGACTAAGCATTTCAGGCGGGGCTCTGAGCACTTGAGTCTGTTCTCTGTGCACTGTTCTTCTCTGACGGGCACATTCTAAGCCCTGTGAGTGTGATTTATATCTACTAGTAGGCACACAGGTTGAAGGGTCTTCTGGAATAGCAATAGAATCTTAAAGGACTTCAAGAGAGGAAAAAAAAATCTTGGTTTCACAAAATGTAAAAATGTGCATAAAAACAGCATCAGCCATGAAACAAGAAAATATTTCTAACCACCAGTTTCTGTGTGTGTGTCTCTCTCTCATTTTTGTTTTTGTTTTTCAAGACAGGGTTTCTCTGTACAACAGCCAAAGCTGTCCTGGAACTCACTCTGTAGAATGGCAGGCCTTGAACTCACAGAGATCCACCTGCCTCTGCCTCCCAAGTGCTGGAATTAAAGACATACACAACCACCACCCATCTTTCTTTCTTTCTCTTCCTTCCTTTCTTTTTCCTTCTTTCTTTCTGTTTTTTTTTTAAGGTCTCATCATTTGTCTACTTGTTTGCTTGTTTGTGTCTCACTATGTAGCCCTGGCTGACCTGGAACTCACTATGTAAACCATGATAGCCTTGTTCTCACAGAGTTCTATCTGCCTCAGGCTTTGCCTTCCAAGTGCAAGGATTAAAGCCTTGCACCACTACATCCAACTGCAGTCAGTTTCTAACAATATCCTGTTCTCCCATAGGAATTCAGGCACTGAAGTTAGCTGAATACTTACCACTGCACTCGTATACTTTTTCTAATTTTTATTTTATTCATTTACTGTGATTGCTCTAGTAGGCGTCTTGAACCTGGGAGAGTGGAGACAAAAAAAAAATGAGGTGGACTAAAGTCTCATGCAATAGTCAACTCTTTATTCAGGGCATCAGAAAGTTTGTATTTTGAAGGTTAGGCAAAATCATTTGTGCAAAGTTTCAGATTTCAGGCAGTATACAGTCACAAGGGCAAGGTCACATGAGTTTTGGCTTATACAGTCAAAGGGCAAGGCCACATTAGTTCAAATACAGTCACAAGGACAACCCGTGCTTGGAAGCATTATTTAATAAGAGTAAAATGATGGGTAATCTGAAGGAAACCCACTCCCATTTACACCAGGAGGGGCACAAGAATACATTCCAAAGAGATACCCACATTGTAAAGGAGCAGAGCTCACAGGTCTCTGGTCTTGTTTACTTGGAGTTTTCTCACAAGCTCTCAGAAATCTCCTCATACAGCTTTATTCCTGAACTGTGATCCAACAAGGTACCAACTGTCAAGTAACAAATTAGGAACTCTAGAGATCTGGCATATTTTCTTCCCTCAAGAAAAGTCCAATCTAAATGAGGAAAAACCAACATACATTCTCATACAAGAACAACAGATTAAGTAACAGTCCAAAAAATGGACTGTATTTAAATGCATCATGTTACAGATCTTGCAGAGTAAAGCCAAAAAAAAATTAGATAGTATAAAAGCTAGTATAAAAGAAGTGGGCAGGGCTCAGGGACAGCTGTCCTGAGACTTGAAGTATAGAATTTACATATCTGAGTAGGAGAAATTAAGGAAAGGAGAAGGTGTTCTTCCAGTATGAGCCCAGGAATCTTTCTACCTATTTTAACTCATTTTCCTAATATCAGTATTACCCACAGCTTCAAGACAGTGTGCTGTATCATTTATAGCAATCAGTGATCATCAGAACATTGACCTCAAGGAACCTAGAGAGACCTAATAAAGAGAAGGAGAAACTCAAAAGTCAGTGCAGGCAATTTTCTCTTTTGTTTGGTGGCTATGAGATGCTGTGTGTGGAAGTTAGCCACCTAAGAAGAGGAGATAGGGAAGGTGAGTGTGAACAACTACATTGGCTTCCACTCACAAAAAGTGGGGCTACAGTGCAAAGGAGATTGCACCTTGAATAGAACACCATTATTTTGAAGTGGAAAGTAAAGATTTTTATCAACTTTAACATAGTTTATGGACTATGTGCAAGGAATCTGAGTTTTTAGTGACACATGTATCAGACTTTCACTGTGTTTGGCATTAGATATGGTACGGAAGTAGAAAACAAGTTAGAAAAGAGCAAAAGCAGATATCTTATTTGTTCCTTCACAGACAAGATAATAAAATACTGATTTATATCTATAGAAACAAAAATTATGGGCTAGGGTTATGGGGATGAGGAAGCAGGGAAGAGCTTAGGGGAGCTGTTGGCCAGGTAGAAATCCTTCCAGATAACTGAAACAAACATTTCATCTTCATTGTGGGAGATGCCTGCATGCAAAAATCTCTTCAGGAAGAGATGAAGTTGTTTCCCAATGGTTTTTTTAGTACATCATGACTTTCCCTTTCACAAAGGATGAGTTAATATGGATCATCCATCCTGAAAAAGAAGTAACAGATCATAAAATTAAACTAAGGAGCTTTTAAAAACGGCCAAAAAAAAAATGAAAATGTTAGTCATACGGATAAACATTCTCTAGCTGAGAGAGGCAAGGGAATTGCTAGCACTGCAGTGCTAGCAATAAACAGCCATTGCATGAAGAAGAGATACAAGGTATTGCTTTCTGTTGGGAACTGTAGACAGGATGCGGGACATTTTAAAACAAATGGAGCAGAGACACCAGAGCAACATTTTACACACTCATGTATTAATCACGCCCCAGTTAATGTTTTTAAATTTTCATTTGCTTTTAAGCACATGTGCATGCTTGAGTGAAGTTATCCGAGGAGGCCAGAAGAGGGCGTCAGATTCCCTGAAGCTAGAGTCACTGGCACTTGTGAACCATTCAATTCAGCTGCTAGGGACTGAATTTGAATTCTCTGTAGGAGCAGTACACACTCCTAGCTGCTGAGCTTGCTCTCTGGCTCCCCTCTCCAAGTAAACAGACTGAATCCGAGTTTATATTTAAAATATTTACTTCTCTAATAAGTTTCCCTCTAATGTTCATCTGCAATTTGACCTCTGCTGGTCAGATTTCTGCAATATTGCTAATTTCCATGTCTGCATCACATCTGGTCAAATTTCTGTAATACTGCTAATTTCCATGCCTACCCTCTGAAGGATAATACATACTGATGTGCTCAAATGGAAGTGAAATGAGAGAAAATAAAAACCCAGGAAAAGGGTGGTATTAGTTCTAAATTAGTTCTGGTGGGCTATGACTTAGAGAAATGGTGACAAATTTAGACTCATGTATATAGGTGCCATTATACTCTGTGCTCAACTGTGCCATTCTTGGAAAGGGTGGAGGAGAATTGTATTTCTGTGTCTTTGCACCTTTCAAAAGGAGAACCGGATTCTGAGGGTCTGGTCTTGTGATGAGCTGTCAGGGTAAACCACCATGGCAGGTGCAAACTTGCTTACCAGTATAGAAATAAAATGTTTCTGAAAGTAGAATCTCACACATACCCTCCTCTGAGGTTGGCATCATATCTTCCTGTGTATCTTGGGTGTAGCTTTTACCCAGGTAGAATTTAGAAACTAGAAACCAAATGAGGTGATAAACAGAACCCATTTGCAGAAGAGTCTAAATAACCAGCAAGAATCAAAACCACAAATGCTCAAGAAGTCATTCATTCATTAGCCGAAAACTAATAGGAGTGAGTACAAAGAACTGTGAGAATCAACGTAAGTCAGAAAAAAAAGTCATAAGGTGTTTAGCGTGATGGTGTTCATCTTCCCCTTGGCTTGTTCTAGGGACACACCCTATTTCTTCCACCCCACCCTTCCTCAGTGCCATCACACAATGGTTTAGTGTGAAAATAAATCATATTACTGGAAGAGGAGGGACTCTGGTACTAACAACTCTAACATGGAAATCGAGAGCTTTAGATCTAGAAGCGTAATAGTTATCAGGGCATTATCTCTGGATACCGGTGCTGCAAATCTCAGCTTCTCCATTTATTCAATGACTTCCCTTAAGCTATTGTCTTTGCCCCTTCTGTTTCTTTACTATAATCAGGGATAGCAATGCTCCCTGTCTACACAGACTTGTAGGCAATATTTACTCATTTCAGACTCACTCAGAATAGTATGCAGCATGGAATGTATATATGATGAAAGATTATTTTTAATCTGCTATTTATTGTTGTAACTCTGTCACTGGCTCAAGGCCTACAGGTAAGTTATTTACTTGATGACAAAGATAGTTTTGACGTGACGTCCCGCATCTTTCTAGCCTAAAATTTTGTGAATTAGGATCACCTTAGCTAATCAATGACATATGTCCCAAGGCAGTCAACCAGTTTAAACCAGTTGATAGTTTCTGGATAGTTTCACCTGGTAGTGAAGTGCTCTGGACATACAGGGTGTGGGGGGAATAGCCTTCCTTTCAACTTCTATTGCACAGACTCTCAAAAAACCAAGAGCTATAGGAAACTTCACCCGTGGCCCCTGAATTTGCTTTTAGACCCACCTCACCATGCCATTGTTTCAGTTATTTTCTAGCCAGAACATTTTGATGATTCTCTCTCCAGCTCTGCCTTTTTCGAATGATTTTTCTGTGAGTGATCACTTAGACCAATGATTTTTCATCCGTATGAAATTCATCAGCCATTACCATTTCTGCCTTTTGTTGTTCTACACTTCTAAATATTTCTGTCTTAGCACCCCAACTAGGCAATAATTTCCCTGAGGTCAGAGCCAAGGACTTACTGCTCTGAGTATCTCAGCAACACTTAGCATTGTTCCAATACAAAAATATTCACTAAAAGAGTATTAATTAGTATTTGTAAAAAAAATCAACAAACTGTTAATAAGCAATTAGTAACAAAGTTTATGCTATTTTTGGTCAGCATCTTCAGCTGGCCTCCCAATCCTTGAAGCGAACTGAACTGCTTTGGTGCTGTAGCTATTAAAGTACATGTTGCTGTGGCCAGAACACCACTCTGGGTAGACAGACAGACTTTCACTAAGTGGGTGGGAGCACAAAAGAAATCTTTACACCCTGTGGGTTTCCTGCTATGGAGATAGGAGGCCACCCCCCAAAGAGCCCTTTTCCTTATTAGGACTCCATCTACACAATTACAATAATAAAAACAAAGTGAAAAGATTCCATTGACCCATGTCTGTATCCTTACCACACCCCCCCCCAACATGGCAAATTCTAAAGAAAGCAAAACACATTCTGCCTCCAGCTGTTTGTCCTAAATAATTGTCCTCATCCTTTCCCCAGCTGCCTTCTGGGGAAGGCATGAAAATGGCTTTCCCACTGATGTCCTTAATGCATACAATGGGAATGTAACAACAGTTCTTCCTGCTGCATTTAAGACTTTCCACTTCTGTCTTTGCTTCTTATCTCTGATCCCAGCTATTCTCCATCCTCCTTCATCTGTGTCTCAACCCCCTCTTTTCATCCTCTTTTTCCTCATTTTGGCTAGACAGCCTGGCATTTCCAGTGTTTGTATCTTTCCATAGCAATCTACGTTATTATCTAACGAGAGAGTTAGAACGCTGAGAACAAACCAGGCAAAACTTCCTTAGGAAAGTGCTTAGTAGGTTTAACACTCCACAGCTTTGCTTCATTTCCAAAGGCTAGTGCTTATTAGAGCAATAACCATTCACTAATTATTGAGGGCCTGTACCTGGGCAGTTCCTTTCTACAGATATGCTAGGTGTTGGAAATGCTCATTGAATTGTTTGTTTCTCAATTGTTAGGTTTGAGTCTTATAAGCTAAGACAAGAAGAAACATAATAGCATACTTCTATCCCTCAAGGAAAATTCAGAGACTACAGGGAAACATTCCTACCGTATGGAATCTCCTTTCTAAGTAGAGATATTTGTACATCCATTCATTTACTTCCACTAGCATCAAAAAATGTCAAGATTTTTAATGGAAGCCAGTACTCGACTACCTTAGCTGGAAATGCCATTTTTATGAGACCCCTGTGTAAATGACTACCACAAGGTTGTTCTATCTATAACAGGAAGTATCCTAAGGAAAGTAGAGATAAATAGACGTGCAAATTCTTCATTAAAAACTTACCTTTTCTGAGATTTCTTGCCTAAAAATAGAAGAGAGAATAGAAAAATTGTATCATCAAAAAGTAGACAATTTTAATTTTTTAAGTAAAGGCTATGCTGATCCCCATAACTGTCTTTTAAAGTACATTATGCATTTGATAAGTGGGCACTCACTTGGGACTAAGTGGATCTGGGGTACCAGTTAACATTTGGTGCTGTAGCGTAACAAGGGGCTTCTCAGGACTCCATTCCACCTGCTGTACTGCTCAATGAAGCCAGAGCCTAGGCTGAATTCCCTCCCAATCAGGCTCAGTATCCCATTCATCAGCTTATTTCACATTTCATCCTGCCTCCTGGCCCTCCCTGAAGGACTTAGGTGCTAACACTGCAAACAAACGGGTCAGTGTATTATTTGTATCCTGAGAATTTCATTCTGATCTTTTTAGTTGGTAGCTTTTAGTGGGAATCATGCAGCCTGATTTGAGTAATTAATGTATTTTCATCTAGATATGCAAGTGTGTGTGTGTGTGTGTGTGTGTGTGTGTGTGTTTCATATTTTATAAATACACTGCTTTCTCTTTTGACTGGTTGCATGGAACCAGGTCTGAAAGTCACTTCCGTAAGTGGATAGGACTCTGTGACAAGCATGTTTGTGTCCTAACATTAACCTTGGTGCCTCAGTTTTGCTTACTCAGTTGGGGCTTTCTTTTCCTTGCTCTTTAGGTAATTTCTGTTGACTGTGCAAAGTGTAGCTTGGGAACTGAACCACATTCTAGAATGGAAAAGAACATAAATACTGATTCGTGATGGCCTGAAGAATTGTGATCTCCCAGAAAGAAGAGGAAATGGGGAAAAAACAAAAAAAAAAAAAAAAAAAAAAAAAAAAAAAACAGAAAGAAAGCTCTCTAAGGAAGAGGGCTCCTTTGAGAGGGGATGGATTTTGTGTATTTCTGTAAACTGGTATTCTAGAACAGTCTCACACAGATTGTAACTTCCTTATTGGGTTAATTAAAGAAAATATATTTAAAATGTTTAGCCCAATGTCTGGCATATAATATACAGTACTGCTTTTTTAATAACAAAGTTCTAGAAATTGTTATTTCAAAACTTTTCCTTCTAAATTTAGCTTTCAGATGATATGGACCAAATTCATTGATCAGGGAGAATCAAGTTCATTTGTTCATCTTCACGGAAACATGTTTTTTCTTTTATGAGCAATGAAAGCAATGGCAATAGATAAATAAAACTGGTCATGTGTGGGCTTGCCATGTCCTACTGAGGGAGTGTCTTTTTTGAAGAAAAGAGAACTAAGGAAGAATGTGTTCAGTTTCATGTAGTGGAGTAACCCTGTGTGTTGGGTCAGGTGGAAAAGTCTTCCAACCGAGGACATAAACAGCCTTATGAACCTGAAGGCAGATGATTTTCAGGGGTGCTATTTTGAATGGAAGAGCCACTTCTGACTTGAGCTTCTGCTAAGGAACAATTTTAGAGCTTGGCCTCAAAATGTCATTGCCTTGGAGAATGAGAAAAATTATGAGTACTGAGTGTTTCTAGCAGAGCCCACAGCCAGAATATTTGTTTGTGGGCCCAGAAAAAGAAATCTAAAGGCTAGTTAGACCCCAAGATGGTTAAGGCATGGGCAACCCTTTCACCATGTTCATAAAATTCATCTGAAAGAAGAAAGTTTGGTCCTTTGATTAACTCAATAAAATGATAACATTTATGTAATAATGTATAAATACAGAATTATTATTTTCACTGTGATTCTTATAAAAGTATCTGTTTAATCTCTATGAATTTATCTTAGGGACCTAGCCACCAGTTCTACCAGTGTCTTTCCAAGGGGGTGTAAAGAGATACTACTCATGTTGCAAAGAGCAAACTTATGGCTAAAATTTTTGAGAACAAAGTCATTCACTTGCAAAGCTGGAGAGATCAGTAGCTGTTTGGCAGCTGAGCACTATTGAAGACAGCATAGCTACCCTGAATTTGCCTCCAGAGCCAGTGATCTCTGGGCGCTGGCACTCTCTTTGGTGGCATAACTGTCACTAGCCCCAAAGCCCGTTATCTGTTTCCTGTTTGCCCCACTCCAATTCCCACAGCAAGGGCATGCCATTTCAGGTTATCAGTTTGAGATCTTGTACAGAAATGACTGACTCCAAGGTGAAAACTTTAAAAACAACCTACAGGTCTTCTTATCCCACTCATAATACAACCTTAGCCAGCTTGCACCCACAAAACACATGTGACTTTGATTCTGTTCTTTTGAATCTCCAACTACCTATGTAAAGGATCGAATTGGGGGGTCATTATCTTCCTTATTAATAGGACTTATCATCCTTGAAGTTATTGAGCTAATAGCCCCCTTACCCGGGAGCATGCGTAATGAATGGCTGCCTCTTCACTCATGGCAGCAAGCCAGCTGGAGGGAGATTTTGAAGTCTCAGTGAAAAGACTAATCAATGGTGAAAGAAAATGTCACTCTTTGTTTTGTGTGCTGGTGCTATAGTCAGTAACAGTCTTTTGCGGTGGTTGTATAAAAACTCCATGGAGTTTCAGCAGAAGAGATGTTTAAGCTGTTCAGTGCTGACACATTATAGTTAGTGGTGTTCTTGTACATGGATAGTGCACCCTCTGTCATCTTTATGGATTGGTGGAAAATGAATCTATCACCCCTTATTTTTAAATTTGGACAGAAGATCAAATCATAGTGGAAGACCACTTGAGACCAGTAGATAATATCTCTTGGATTGCCAGTGCACATGGGTTGGGTAACAAAATACACACTAATGACTCAGAAGGGGAACGTAAGTGGCCATCTGCTCACGTCACAGGAAGTAGCACATAGGAGTCATTCATAGTCCCATTCATAATGCAGGGGATCTTTAAAGCTGCAGGGCTATGTGAAATTTACAGTTCATCTGCGAGATGAACTTGGGCAAAAGTGACAGTGCACACCCAAATGCTGCTGTGGCCTGTGGGCCTGTGGCTGGTGTACTGATCTAACCTGAAGGCAAAAGAATATGCAGGAGGGAGGAAGGGGGCAAAAGGAAGAATGTTGTGTTCTCGTGTAGTGTTCTATCTACTTCCTGTGTGGCAGAGAATAAGGTTTGGAGGAAGGTCTCCTATTCCATTTTTCTTCTTTCCCCAACCTTTTGCCCTATTTTCCAAACATATATATGGTATACCAGGTTATAGCCTCAGTGAACAGATTATAGAGAAAATCCACAAGGATTTCTTCCAAGAGCAATAAAACTTCCACATGTCAATACCCAGACAGTTATGTGACTCTTAAAGAGATCAGATGTTTGAAAACTTTACATGATAATAGATTCACTTCCCAATGATGCTATAGTGCTAAGATTGAAGTCATCCAGGCTCCTGGAAGACAATGGAAAATACATCCTCTCTTCAAACAGATACCAAAGAACCATTACAATGTCTCATTTAGCCAAGTTCCTCATAGCAAGCCATCATGAAAAGGCCTGCCTAGTGTGAACCATTGGCTGGCTTTTTTAAATGAAGTACACGTTAAGATCAGTGTCTCCAGGGACTTAGTCTACCCAGGTTAGAAGTCGCTTGGCACCTGCTTTAGTTAAATCTCTTGCACTTTATTTCCTGTGGGGTTTCTTTTTCTTTTCTTTTCTTTCTTTTTTTCTACTCTAAAATGTTTTACTTTGATGTTATTGAACACACCTACCTTTTTTTAACCTCCTTGCCAGCCAAATGATAAATGCCAGACCGGAGAATGCAGTAACCGTGACAGCCACCGGAATGAAGAGGGGGTTATAGTTGCCTTCCTTGATCTTTGAGAAACTTCTGTCTGTCTCTGAAAGAGGAGTCAGTAAGACATATGGTATGAGACCACAGCATTATTTCCTTAGTCCAGATCATGATGCTTAGCACTTTGGTCTCCTGATATTCCGCCAGTAATAACATATACCACTGATGAGGAATGTAGCATGGGAAGGCCCATGATGAGTATGCAACTGGGCAACTGGGCAACATGATCACAGTTCTCAGATTTGCAATTCATGGAATTCCAGGGGATGAACCTAAAAGTATTGACAAGAAGTAGTTATCGTGATGTTCTACCCCCAGTCTCATGTAAAGGTTGACTTTTGTGCATATAGAAGAACTAGAAAGCTTCATATGTAACTGCAAGGAAAATTAAGTTAGCAATCTGAAGTAGGTAATATGTTAATCAACAGAAGCTGTTATTAGTCCTTAATTAAAGGAGTTATGCAAAAGTGTTATTGTTTATATATCCAGGATGTGCAATGATCTAAAATGATATAATTGTACCACTTCCCTTCATTTCCATCTAAATAAATTAAAAGGACACGTCTACATATCCTTCTACAATACAAACTAGTTTTGTTTACACCTTTTATTAAAAAATATTCATCTGAAAAAAAAGTCAATCTTCTGATACCTCCAGGTGAAGGAATCTACTTTTACATATTGGCAACTGTTGTTTTGCTGAAGATGAGGAAATGAAAATTGAGTAGAGACGAAAGGAAATGTATTTAATGAGCCTGGCATACAGCTTTACTGTAATGTCTGCTCTGTCCCTGTCTGTCTCCACCCCTACTTTACTTCAAACACCCAGAGATCTTTCTTGACAGCTTCTTTGGGGCCTCTCACTTCTATACTCTGTGCAGATGGTATCAGGCAGACATTGGTAGCTGTTATTTCATAAGCTAATTTAATGCACACTTATTTTAGCATTTTTAAAATGTACTCTGTTAGAGGATATATATATATATATATATGATGAGGAAGGTCAGCTTTTCTTGATAGGCCTAGTACAATCTTGGGAACAGGGTTGCTGTGTTGAAGGTCTGACAGTAGCTCTTAGCCTTGCCTATCTTAGATAGTTACGCTGTGCTATTGGTGTACTATGTTTGATTTGTTCCTGATACCTTCAATTTAAAATTTTTCTGAGAAATGGAGAAGTAATGCAGCATCACCTTATTAAAATACATTTGAAGCCTTAAAAAAAAAAGATGATGAGGAAGATGTGGTTCTTTTCTTACACAGATAGATTTGGAAGAATCAGTTTAGGATAATTGTGTTTGGAGTTAGGTAGTCATTGGTGACCTTTGAAGAAGCATTTTAAATGACTAATAGAGAAATTAGGTTGTGGTGGAGTAGAAAATATAGGCAATGCATAAATAAGTAGACAATGGATTTAAAAGTAAGAGGAGAGTTGAGATTGAAAACAAAGAAAATAATTATCATTAAAGGAGAGGCTGAGAATAGCCAAGAATTTTATAGTACGTGAATGTGTATAAATTTCTTTTTTAGGCCATATGTATTGAGAAAAATGGAATGTGAAGGTGTGTTATATCTCCCCACCTTCTGGGAGTCAGTCAGCTCCACCTTTAACCTTCAGTATATTTGAGCACAATTACTCACTTTGACATATTGGACTGGGGTTAGACCAGATGCCAGCTGACCCGCAGATGGTTTCTCTCTCCCCGATTAAGTCAGTTCCTTCTCCACAGGTGAAGGTACAAGCAGAAGAGAAGCTGAAGTTGGCCAAGGGATGACTGCATTCAATTGCTCCCAGACCAGGCGCTGTGAGAGCCTGGCACTGAGTCACTTCAGTGAAGACACAGAAACAAAACAGAATTCATGACCAAAGGCAGTTTTCAAGCTTTTATTATTAGCATAAGCTAACTATCCACAATAATGAATTTCATTATGGCATTTCCGTAGATGATGTATATATTGTAGTTTGATCAGATTAGTTCTGAGGTTTCTTTTCTTCCTTTCTTTCTTTCTTCCTTCCTTTTTTTTTTTTTTTTTTTTTTTTTTTTTTTGTTGTTGTTGTTGTAAAGTTGCTTTATTTGACATAAAAAAAAAAATCACTAAAGTATATCTTCAGTTCACCCTGAACTCTAAAGTGTTATGCCTGTGTTAAAATACTGGACATCCACAAAATAGTCCTGAGGTTTCTTTGTTTAATTTTTTAAAATCTTTTATGCATATGAGTACCTGCACATTTTATGTGCTGCATAAAATTATCTTTAACTGGGATTACAGGTGGTAGTGAGCTGCCCCAATCCAGGTCCTCTGCTGGAGGAACAAGTGATCTTAAGCACTGAGTTCTCTCTCCAGCACAAGTTTTGGATCAAAGCCACCAGATTTAACCATGGTGACCGTTCATAGGAATCTAGAAATTTCTGATTTGTAGGAATTACTTTAGACAATGCTTTCAGGATTGTTTTCTTAATATGATATCGAGTAACAATTGGTCAGGGATGGAGCCAACAAGGCACGGATAACCCATGGTAGTATAAGGTAGGCATTCCAGGCTGCTGCCCCAGCATGGGGATGTGCCAACTATGCTGGAAATGTCATAGCATACAGCCATGGACTCAAGAGCACGCATGGGACATTCTCAGTGACTGCCGAGATTTCAGTCTTCTCATGTGTTGTGAAATCTACTCAAGCAGTGTGACAGACACCCCCATTCTCCAAGGCAGGCTTAACTTTATACTATACATCATTTACATCAATTCAATTCTATGATTTCAGTGGTGGATTTTGGTTTTCACTAGAGAATTAAACTAGGGAACCAGAAATATAAATGTAGACAGCATAACCACGACTTCATAAATGTAAACCCTACCAGTTTTGTTTTTCCCCATCAGCTTGTGGCAAACCTCATCAGTCAAAAAAGGATGAAACCTCCTGTTTCAAAGGAAAACAATAGAGAGCATGGTCTTTGTTTTTCACAGTAGTTGTTATTCTCCTGTGAGCTTACATAGGAGAAAAAACAAATAAATGATAACTTTAAGAATGTACCAAAGGAAACATTCAAGAAAGACCTTTGCGACCTCTGAAGGAAACTGATTGGTGCTAAGTAGGGCACCACATAAAATGGATGCTATTGAAAGGAAAGGAACAAAAGTTGAACAGAGATTCATCAAGGCTTTATGCCATGACAATGAGAAAAAGAAAATACAGAGTATAACTCCAGTGTGTTGCCCTAAGTCACATTATAAATGCCAAAGGGCTTTAAATACATTTGGCTTCTTTTGCTTGTTTGTTCATTTTTGAGTTTTGCCTTTCATTTTAGTAAGCTGGGGGGGGGGATCTCTAGAAAAGCATCAAATAGACTTCTAGGCAAGACTCCCCTATGTTTTCTCAGATTATAGGCACAAACTTGACACAATGAGAACTCCACTCAAAAGTCACTCATCTTGACAGACTGGCTCTAGGGATGACCAGTTTCCACGTGGTCCACAATGTGTTTCTCCAATCCCAAGTAGCTCTGTTCCCTCAGAACAGTTGAAAGAGCACTGGGAGTGGAAGCTGAAGTCTCCCAAGGGGTGAGTGCAGTCCATGGTACCCAGCTCCAGGGCCTTCAGTGGTTCCCACTGGACCACTTTAATGGGAAGAGGATTTGAAAGAGTTATGGGGATCAGATGGATTTTTTAGTCTTGTCTCTGCTACTTGGTAATCACTGGTCTGTCTTTGAGTCCAAAGAAACATTCTAGGAATAAATGGTGTCTGCATTATGTTTTAAAGACGACCAGGTGTTGTCCACATGCAAAATCAAAGAAAGGTCATAAACAAAGCCAACAGAACACAAAGTATATGTGAAAAGTAGAAAACTGCCAAAACATTGAGATTGCTATAAAGTCAGAGTACCATCTGGGGGATGTGGAGAGAGAGAAGCATAGACAAAGTACTCATCATTTTCATCCCACCAATGAGCACTTGGTATGTATCAAGCATCATTTCTCAACTTAATGAGCTCTGATTTTACCAAGACAAATGATAGGGATATGTTAAAGAGTGAATGATCATGTGTGTCTGGTATGTTCTGATTATTTTTAATTGGTCAGCTTGATTGCACTATGAGTAACTTACTTGAAGGAAGCTAATTTTCAGTTCTGGAGCTCATCTAGGGACTACAGCACTAACAGGAGAAAGACAATAAGGGAAAGGATAGTGGACAAATAGGAAATTGGAGAAGTAGCAAGTTATACAATGTCATAACAAGGACACTGGTTGGGAGAAGGGATTGGCCTAAGTGAGATAGGGAAAGGGGATGAATGTAATCACTGTGCGTTAAATTAATCAAAAGTGTTTTGTTGAATTGTACGTGTATAGGTGTTCTACCTGCACATGTATGCATGTATGCACTATTTGTGGGCCTAGAGCTGAAGGAAGCCAGAAGGGGTACTTTGTATGCTCTGGAATGGAATTATAGATGTCTGTAGGCTATCATGTGGATATTGGGAATGGAACTCAGATCGACTCTTAAGCTAAACCATCTCTCCAGCCCCACAAAATAAAGAAATTTTTGAAAACTGAATTTGTATTATGTTATCTTACACAAGTGTTGGAGATGTGATAGTTTCATATTAGAGTCATTTTGTGTGTCATTTCCATGTAATGTGGTTGTAACCACAAAAACAGAAAACTGGCTAGGGACACTTGACTTGTAGACACCCAAGACAAGATCCTTAGCATATTTAGAGGTTATAGCTAAAGATAGATTTGTCACTTCAAAGGTTATATAGGTATATTAGTCCACAAAATTCAGGAAATTTGATGAAAGAAACAAATTAAGTCAGAATAACAATAGAAAAGATAAATGCTAAGACTAAGGGTTTGTGGCCTTGGGTAAGTACCAATGGAAGAACCCAAGAGAAATCATTATACTTGAAAAAAAAAAAAGGCAATAAGATGATCAGAAAGGGAAATGATGAGAAGCAAGAAAGAAAACACAGTGTTCAGAAAGGAGTAAAATTAATGGAAAGACCAGCAATTACTGTGGGGGGGGGGTGAAACATTTGGGAAGAGACACAGCTTTGGGGACAAGTGAATTAGTCAGATCTAATCCGGTTGGTTAATGCTGAAATTAATTTCAGTTTCAGTCCTTTATTCCTTAAAAACACTACTTTTCTTCTTCTTACAACTTTCCAGTGAGCGTGTTTGACACATCAAACACATTTTGAAACTCAACCAGCCTCGATCAAAAGATTTGATGCTACTTTCAGGAGTGGTTGGTTGAGTCCAAACCTCTGACTTTACAGATGGCTACTCTCTCTTTTCCAGGTCTACCACTGCATCTCTGAGTGATGTCATAAGGCTCCCAATGACTCTTCCCATCCCCTCTTTCTTGGCTGTCCTAGCAGAGCTCCTCTCTGCTGTTTCTAGGATAATTGCCCTCAGTGATGGTGTTAAGATACTGAGTGGCCACTCATAGAAAATAAAGGACAAGTGATTTTATTAGATTGCCCCAAAAGCTCATTCCTGTTCCATCAAGTTTGATCATTAAATATATATAATTTTATTAAATAATGTAAATTCCATAAATGCCGAATCTTTAATAATTTGCATCTGTAGTCTCCAGAAATACCCAGTCAAATTAGTTCATAGAATTTGTTATTAAACAACTGTGACTTAGTCTGTGCATCATTGTGAGTTCTTTGCTATTCTTCATCATGTCTGTCTATAGAAAAGCAGGAGTGCCTTCCAGATGCCTCATTCTCCTAATAATAAATATAACTCTTTCTGTCAGATTTCAGAGATCTGCTTAATCCAGCAAGCTCATTAGATTATGACATCCTTGAAAGTAGGGATCTACAATACCTGGTTTTTTAATTGTAATCTGCTCATCTTTTGCAAATCTCAATACCTTGTTCCTTGTGATATTTCAAAACACTTGTGAAGTAAAGTGAAAGTGCATGTTGACTTAGGAAATCTTTACAGGAAGATAACATTGTGAAAGCCCGGCCTCCTGTTCAGAACTTCCCGTTTCTTAGAATGGCTACTATTAATTTGTTCCAGCAGAATTAGTTTGTCTCAACCAGCTGCTATCTTAAGCTATTATGGTTCTTATGGCTTTTGGCAGGAATAAACAAACAAAAATGAATAGGCTCACCATACTGACACTGTGGTCCATAAAACCCATCATCACAGTTGCAGGTGTGATTGTTGATGGTTTCCACACATTCTCCGTGGCCACTGCAAGACCCAGACTGGCAAGAGGCTATGAGCAGATTAAACAGTCATTTTAGTGTGATTACATCCATGGTCCCTTCCTCTCACAAGAGAGATTTGCTTAAATATTCATAACATTTTTATGTAATAATACATGAGAAAATTTTTATTTATGAGCTAGTCATATTTGGTTTTAGAATGAATTAACTTATAGTAATGCTCTACATGGTTTTGGAGGTGTTAGAGGAAGACCTTTAAAAAATCACCCAGCTCTCAACATCATCTTTCTGCCTGTCACTGAAACACAGGCTGTCTATCCTTATTCCCCATATAACATACTTACAACCTGGATAGAACTTGGCCTAGGTGTTGAGCACAGGAACAAATTTTACATACAGAATGCCCAGAAGTTCTATGATTAAGGCTTATTTAGGATGATTTCAGAATGAACTAGCAGTTTCTGGATAACACGTTTAATTATGCTAACTTTGGTCTTCCTGAGTCAAAGTCAGACAGGAGTCTGGTCACTGCCCACCTGTGTAGCAGAGAGCTGCCTTTCGTTTGTGGCAGGCATCGTCATTCCATTTCCCAGAGTCTCGTTCCCTCTTGATATAGATCTCTACACAGTCCTCCCTGGACTTCTTATTGTTGGGCTCCCCAGCTCCCCAATTCTCTGCTTCTTTAGTGAGAGGCTTGTTGGTTCCCACCCATGTCCATATTTTTCCAATTTTCCGGATTCCTATCCAGTAATAAGTTGGGTTTTTGGGCAATGTCTTCTCCAAATATTCAATTTCTCTCTTATTTTGTATGGCCACTAAATCTGTGTAATTTTTCTTGCAGAACTTTCTAGCATTTTCCCAGTTCATGGATTTTTCAGAATAGTGGTAAGTCCAGCCGTGAGTTCCATGGTGTGCCAGGAAGTCTGAAAAATGCCAGAAAATATAATGACTCATAGAGTGTTTTAGAACCAGGCACAGATGCAGGCTGCCCATTACTCAGAGACGAAGAAACAAGAGCCCAAGAGTACAGACAGTACCATTGGCAAACTTGGATCAGACTCAAGGACTATTATACATAAATATATCTTTGTACTTTAGCGAAAGATCCTTCTCAAAATTCTTTCAAGTGCAATTTCTCCAACATAACTTAGAAATGGTGTCACTAACAGGCTTAAAATTCACACTGTACTTTTTAATGCTGGGATAATTTCCAAAAGGCCAATATTTGTTACTGCTAACATAGTACATATACAAAATCTTTCTTTTAGGTAAAGTAAAATAGGATCAGAAAGAACAAGGATATAATTTTAAATACTTTTTTTGTAACATGGAAATATAGTACTTTATTGCAGATTAAGCTGCTATTGGGAAAGCTTCAATACATTGCCCACTTCTTGTGCACTTAAATCCATTGTAAAGAAAGCAACATAAATACAAAATAATGCAGGGACACAAAATTTATTACACCATGTTCTGCATTCAAAGATACTCAAATAATGGTGTCCAATAAACATATGGGGGCTTCAAGTATGTGGGGTTTGAAGAAACCAAACACAAAATGTACACAATAACCATGAGGATACTGGCCTTCTAAGTATGGTCTCTGTGAAATATGATTGTATGGTAAGATGAAAGACTGCACAGCCATCAGCTCACTGAGTTTTCACTTCATAAGGCAAACACTACAGAGAAATACCAGAACAGTCTTCTAAATATTTATGCTTAAGTCCTGAGCTTCTGTAAACCTGGGTCAGAGAAATTTCTTTTTGAAGAAGATAGCAGTCAGTAGAGGGATGCCTAACTGTTAAATTCTGAGCCCCACAACCATCAGGCTGGTTGCAGAAAAGACACAAGAATGTAAGCATCAGAGAATGGGGATGGATTCTGTGAAAAGCTGTCTTCTGGGCATGACATGGCTAAGCAATCTTGAACTCACAGCAGCTGTGATTGTCTGCACATGATCAAGCATGGATGGGGTGGAGGATCTCCAGCCCCACCTCCCTCTGAGGAGCTATTGGCAGTTAGTAGTTGGCACAGAGCATCACTCTTTCTGAGGAAGTAGCCACTGCTAAGTTTCCCATGCTCCAGTGAATGGATCACATGGGGGAACATATGGGTAGCACTAAATGGACTTAAGGGGTTATCAAAACAAGGAAGAAAGAAGAAAGACATGAAGTTGGAGGGGCATGTTAGGAGGGACATGGGGGGAGATGAAGGGGGGAAGGCACATATGATCATACTTTATTGTGCATCTATAAAACTCTCAAAAGTAAATAAAAATTAACAAAACAAAGACTGTGTTCACTCATTCTGAGTTGAAACTCCAAGGTAGGGAAGAAGGAAATATGAGTTTCTTAGGCATTAGTTTAAACAGTTCCAATGTATTGATAAAGAGTCCCTAGGACTTAAACATAAAACATGTAGCATCAGTAGAAAGACAACAACATCCCCCCAAACAAAAACTCAGTCCTCAAGCAACCCACACTGTGACCATAGAAGTTCCCTGGGTGCACAGCAAACTATTAATAGAAAGTAGAATGTAACATAAGCGTTCTGAGTAATAATTAGCTGCAATCCTCCACAGTGGAAGGCTATTATGCTGTTCTCAGGATTGGGGCGCTTCACTAGAGAATATGGCATGTAAAGCTGTGCTAGGGGGCTCAGAGGAATGCTGAAGTTCAGAGGAAGAGTAGAGTCCTTAAAAAGAATTAACAGCCACCTGCCTGATTATTTTCCCTGCAAGTATGTATGCTCCATGAGCATTACACAAAGAATAACTGCAGGTATAAAGGCTTAGCAGAATACGAATGGCATACCACAACAGAGCACCGTCCAGACCCACAGCTTGAGGATGATCCATGAGCCCTGTGGAGCACTCTGGCATTTCCATGGAAACACCTGCAAATGAAAGGGAAGATGATATTTAAAATAAAAACTACAAACTTATATCCCCTCAAGGTGGGGCCCTACAATTTTCTTAAAATAAAAATAAAGCTCACCAGCCTTATCCAAGGTAAAATATTTACGCAACATGGCTGAGAACAATGTCAACAACTTTACTCCAAACTGGTGCACTGCTTTATTTCATTTTGTTTCCATGCTTCAGTCCCAAGTTGCTGCATTATCAATGGGATGTTGTTCTGTATTTTAGTAACCTTTCCATGTACTTTGGGCTCAGCTTTAACTCAAACTAAACACTATTTTGCGTGCATGTTTTTAATGTTCATTGGTGTTTAATGGATGAGTGACATTAAAATTTGCTGTCTTCTCATACAAGGTCATGATGGATTCAAGCATGAGTGATTTATCCAGACACCAGAAAAGGAAAGCAATTCATTTTTTTTCCAGCTAAGAAGCACTACATTCTGAATAGCCCAAATAAGGTAGCCATAGATTTTTTCCCCTGCACATCTTAAAACTGTAGTTTTGCTTGCATATCATGTCTCAGGTAGCCCCTTTATGTCACTGCAAGGTCCATATCTCAATAGTACCTTTTCCTGCATCTCATCAGAGCAAACACCAAAGGAAGAAATCAACAAGAAACAGTCTAGAGTTGCTGTTTTGATATAACATGCTTTTTGTTGTTGTTGCTTGCTTGCTTGTTTCTATCTTTCTTAAAACCAGATAGCTTCTTGCCCCTTGATACCTGCCTCTTCAAACCCCAGGAAACATTTGAATATCTAGAGATATTATAGGCTGGAAAGCTCACCATGGCTTCTGGGTCTCTGCAGTTCCTCTGCAGCCCTCAGCCTTCAGCACCTGGGGCTCTGGGTTCTTGCACAAGGAGGGTGTGCTGTGCTCAGGAAGAATGTGCTAAGTGTCGCCAGCAGGGCTTGCTTTCTTTCATTTCTCTAACCCAGTCTCACATCCTCCTCCCCCTTTTCTTCCCCTTTCTCATCTCTTTCTCCCTCCCCTCCCCTTTTCTAAACTGGTCTCAGTTGCCTGCCCCGGAACACTGTAGCTGACTAGAATCTCTGGCAACTGGATTCTTCCACACATCCCCCCAATCTTTTCTGTTCTCCTGTGCATCCTTCTCCTCCTGCTTCCCTTTGTGTTTCTTGTTGTTTGGTTTTAGAAACACCTGACTGTGAGGTAGGAGGCCCCGGTAGTGCCATAGCCAAAAACTCACTTCAGGTTCCATCACAACTTCAGTATCTGGAAGTTGCCTGGAAGACATGGCCCACCTCAGTTCTTTGCCTCCCTCTTTCCTTGATCACCACCTAGTGGAAGTCCTTGCTAATGGCTCTTCGGAAAGTTAAATCCCTAATCACAATCCCCAGGCTCTAGCTTTTGGCCCTAGGAAAGTTTGGGGACCTAGAAATACCTTGAGTATAAAATATCAAAGAGGTAAAACAGCCTATGAAATTTGAATTCAGCCAGGTAAAGGCAATCTGAAACAAGTCACTGACATAGTGTTTGCATTGTAAGGAAGTTAGTAATAATGACAAATATCAAGGTATGTACGTACCAATACACACAGAGAGAAATAAAATATAAACAATTATAACAACAGTAGAATTTAATAGGCCATGTTAATTACCTTTTCATATCTAAAAACACTTGTCCTATTTTTTTTTTAAATTTATTTTTTCTTTGGGGTTGGAGAAATAGCTCAGAGGTTAACAGCACTGGCTGCTGCTCTTCCAGAGGTACTGGCAGGGTGGCTCCCAATCATCTGTAATGGGATCCGGTGCCCTCTTCTGGTGTACAGGTGTACATGCAGGCAGAACATTGTATACACAATAAATAAGTTTTTTTAAAAAATGAATAAACTTTATGTGTTCTTAGGTGATTTCATAGCTCAGTGGTACTTAATCCACCCCAAATCCTGCTGGCTATCATCCCTTGGAATCTCACCAACATTTTTCCCACCTTCATGTGCTTTCTTGCTTTTTATAACCTACTTAGTCTAAGTAGTGCTGCCTGTTAGAATGTTGACTCATCTTTCTGGTTTGAACATGTGCAGGTCACCATGCGACTGCAGCCCCACAAACACAGCTTCCCACATTCATGGGTGTAATAGTTCTGTCAATGGCTTAGGAGATTAAAACAATGACTGGGCTTTCTGGGACCAGGAAAGTATGTATGCAGGTGAAGGACCAGGAGATCCAGTGATGTAATTCAGCTCAGGATCCAAAGCTTGAGAATCAGAATCACCAGCATCCTAGAGCAGAGCGAAATGAATGGCATAGTTCAGGGTGGTTTTGCTATTCCTCCAACAAGAAGTTCAGTTTGAATACCTAATGAGTTGGATGAAGCCTGCCCATATCAGGCCTGTGTATTAACCCCATTGTAGCAGGAAGAATGTATGTATCAGAGGGGGGAACCTCATTGTGAACCTAGTCCTGGGGGATAATTGAATCTTCAGTGTAAATTAATATGAACGTTTTTGAATTGCGGCAACTGAGATTGGCAGGCAGCGAAGACTTGGTCTTGGAGATAGTTTTAGATTATTAACATGTTCGGATACCTTTTGGTATTGGCACAAGAGCCTATAAAACTTCACCCATACTAGAATAGTGATGACCAAAGAGAGACAATAGGAAGTATTAATTATGATGTAGAGAAGCTGGAACCCTTCTCATTCCAGGTGTGACTGGAAGTAGGATCAGCCTCTTCAGGAGAGAGTGGGACGGTTCCTCAAATAATAGAAAAGAGTTCCTATGTGACCTTCTTCCAGATAAGAGCTAAAGTGGATGGAGAAAAGGTCACACCTCAACAGTTGCATTCAGGTGTTCACAACTTCACTATTCACACTAGTCAAAATGTGGAAAGAAACTCAGAGACAATCGCCTACATGGCGGATTGACAAAACCCAGTCAATCCATACAAAGAATACTTATCTACCATCATAGAGCCCTCATCTAGTAGCTGATGGAAACAGAAGCAGACACCCACAGCTAAACACTGAGCTGAACTAGAATCCAGATGCAGAGAGGGAGGAGTTATAAGAAAATGAGGGCAAGACCAGGCTACAGAAACCCACAGAGACAGCTCACCTGAACAAGGGGGAGCTCATGGACCCCAGACTGATAGCTGGGAATCCAGCATTGGACTGACTCAGACCCCCTGAACATAGGTCTCAGTTAGAAGGCCTGGGCAGTCTAAGGGACCTCTGACAGTGGGACCAGAATGTATCCCTGGTGCACGAAAGGACTTTGGGAGCACATTCCCCATGGAGGGATATTCCCTTAACCTAAAGGCAGGAGGGAGGGCCTAGTCCCTATTCCAAATGACTTGACAGATCTTGTTGATCCCTCCTGGAAGGAATCACCCTCCCTGTGGAGTAGGGGGGTCATGGGATGGGAGGGTGGTCAGGGGGCATGGGAGGGAGAGAGGGAGGGAGAGAGAGGGAACTGGGATCTATATGTATGATAATAATAATAATAAAATTTCTCTGTAAATGAAATGAAATGTTGATGCAAGCTACACCACGGAGGACCCTAGAAAACAGTATGCTAAGTAAAAAGAGCTAGACAGAAGGTCACAAAGTACTCTATGTATATAAAATATGCCAGATAGGCAAATCCATAAAATGTAGATTGGTATTGCCATGGGAGGGAGAGAAGAGATTGTGAAGAAACTGCTAGTTGACTAGGTTTTGTTCTACAGCAATAGAAATGTACATGGTTGCCTGATATACCATTTTAAAAGAATGTCATTAAGATGGGTCAGTGGGTAAAAGCCCTTGCCTGGTGGAGAGAGCTGAATCCTCAGATGCCTTTGATCACCACACATTCACAGTGACAATGCGCACACACATACATACACGCACACACTAAATTAAATGAACTAAAATGTAAAGTTATGGCATACAGATTTTTATCTAGATCAATTAAAATTGTTTTTATTTAAATAACACCTTTTTCCTTTATTTTACATACCAACCACAATTTTGCCTCCCTCCTCTCCTCCTGTTTGCCTTCTCTTCCAATTTGCCCCCTCCCCATCCACTCCTCCTCTACTCCATTCAGAAAGGGGCAGGCCTCCCATGGGCTTGAACAAAATATCAAGTTGAGAAGGGACCAAGCTCTTCCCCTTGCATCAAGGCTGGGCCAGGTAACCCAGCATGGGCAACAGGTTCCTGAAATCCAGCTAAGCACCAGGGACAGGTCCTGATATCACTGCTAGGAGCCTTATAAACAGACCAAACCACACAACTGTCACACACATGCAGAGGGCCTAGGTAGGTCCCATGCAGGCTCTCTAACTATTAAGAAGGCTTATATACACAAGGATAAGTAGAAAAACATTTATTGTCAAACATTATACTGACATGTGAATACAAAAAGTTTGACATATTTAAATAAACACATACTTTTAAACCATAAAATATTTTAAATCATAATTTAAAATACTCTATAAAATTCGATATAGATCACGTTCATATTTCACACACTTATTTCTGATACGAAATATATAAGCATTTACATTGTGTAGTTTCACAACAGTTCTCTCTTCTCTAGCTCTTGCTGCCTCCCTTCTTCCTCTCTCATGCCCTTTTGGTCCTAATGCTTGTCATATTCCTTGTTCACCATTGGCTTCTCCATTGTCCAATCACTTTTCAAAACCTTTCTTTCTCAAATATGTTATTTTGGAAGTTGGGACACTTTTGATGGGAACAACTTTGGCACTTGCTGATCAAGGTTTTGTCATTGTCAATGACAGCTGAAATTCCTTAGGAGTTTTAACCTCTGTAAAACAACATAACCATTGTGTATGCAAGCTTTCCCCTCTTCTAGAACATATGGACACAGAATAAAACAACTACAGACTGTTAGGCACTTTTACTATTTCTACTGCCTGGATCTATTACCTAGTGAACCCTCATCATGGATTTAGAATCATACATAATATACAAGAATCAGATATCTACTTGTCACACCTTAAGAGCCACCTTATATTTAGACAAAGTTCCAAACAAATAATTTAAAGTACACATTCACTTTTAGCACTTCCACTTTTATTACTTCAGAACATTTGACCTAAACACTTTTTTTCAGAAAGAAAAGAAAACCCTACACATTTGGTGGGGGGATCCCCCAAACATGCAAACTCTCTCTTCAATTTCTATTCTTCTAATAGTACCATGTCCTAAGACCAGCTCCAGTTAAATACCCAGGGGTTCACACTGACTAGTAATTCCTCATTTTGAAGATGAGTTTACTGTGGACAGACAGAACATAAGGATTTTCTAATAAAAAATGATTTAAGGTAATTTTTGCCTTGTCATAGGTCACAGGATTTCTGATTTCTTTAAGTCCTTTTGCCCATTGCTCTGAAAAAAGAATTATGGACAACACGGTGGCTTCAGTGCAAGGACACAGAACACATGTCTGAGAACCTAAATCCCATGGGGATAAAGCCAGTAAGCCTGCCTGGCAGTCCTAACTCAGCAGGATTTGCACCTTGTACTCCTAACAACACTCCCATGCCATAGCCAGGGGATATGGCAAGTGTGCTTCTTTTTTTTTTTTTTCAAGATGGAAATAGAAAATTGTTTACTCAAGAGTTCTGATAACTATTATTTATCTCTGTAACAACAATAATAGCATCAACAATTGAAACACTATGTAGGGAATAAGAGAAAGAAACAAAGCCACAAAATGCCATTTCTCTTCTCAAATTTCAGAGTAAGGTAGAAATTTGCTGTTCCAGGGGTTTTAGTTTCTTTTGAAGTGAGTATCCCCAACCTTCCATGGCCAGTATGTTCTTGGTAATGTGGCTAGGAAAGAGGAAACTGAGTCTCTCTGATGGGCAGATGATCTTGTCACTGAATTTTGATCCATGGAGTCAGGATCCCAGTTATTAAGCAACCAAGAGAGACCAGGATCCTGCAGACAGCTCACTTTCTGCTATCTTTGTCATATCATCCTGTTTCCCAGGATGCATCTGTATTCCTGCAAATACAAGCAAATGTGAAGGCCTTCCAATGCTGGAAGCCACAATAAAATACATCTTTAAAGCAGGCTTTTCTCTTGGGAGTGGTCCAGATATGAACTCCCAATGTCATTCAGCTACAACGAAACTAGTCTAGGCACTATAATGGTAGATATTAGTCATTTAAACCTGTTAAACCCTATGGAGTGAACAACCCAGTGAACCATGAGCAGTGCACCTTGGGCTTTAATTAAAAGTAATTCAACTATACTGGTCATCATTTTTTAAGAACTATGATAGTAACGATGTTGATAATAAGGAAAACAAGCCAGGGGGCTGAACAGTCAAATTTTAACATCTACCTTCTGTTCAATTTTTCTCTAAGCCCCAAACTACACCAAAACTCTGTTCATTAGGAAAAATTGATTTAGAAGGTCTTGACCTTCCAGATATACTCTCAGAAGCAAGGCCGATATTGAGGATTACAGATTCCAGAATCACACAAGCGTTAGGATTGAAACCCTGATACACAGCACAGTAGCTTTGGAAACTTGGTCAAGTTCCCCAAAATTCTGTGCCTCATTTATTCATCTCAGAGGAGTAGAGGAATAGTCCCAGGCTCGCAGAGTCCCTGGCTTAGATCCATGTTTAGCAATCTAATTGCTGAGTGGGGCTAACATTCACCAACACCATTATCATCCACAAGTAAAACGATCCAAAAAAGACAGAACTCTGCTCCTCCCCCTCCTTCCTCAGAGAAACGAGACAACTTTCTATGAACAGTTATGAAGATGGGGATTTTCTCTAGCCAGTGGCAAGTTTGAGGTTGTCAGGGACAAACACTATAGGGAAAGGGGATTTTCTCTCCTTCACGAGACCTGCTCAAGTCATACCTGATTGTTTTGAACTTAGATGATGTGAGAAGGTACTTGATAGTTGCCAAACGATTGAAGACTTTGGCAGCTGCTGGGGAAATAGGAAAAAACTATGTCATGCACTGCTTTATCACATGCAGAGGGGGAAAAAATGTACGGAGTATTAAATGTGGCATGCTTTGTTCAAGAATTCACCTTACCTAGCAGGAACAAATTTCTTTGCTGCAAGAGAAAGAAAGTAATTAATTTGGACTAATGACTTTTCAGAAAATTAGATTGATTTACTTGACTCATCTAGATTTTTATTCTCAGTACGACAGGGCCCTGTAATAAGTATTTGATAGTAATTAAAGTAAAATGCAGAGGATAGATCAGCCAAAGAACACAACAGCTTCCTGATACCAGGAAATAGCTGCATGCTCATCTTGTCTGTTTCTTCTTCTTCTTTATGGATCCAAAATCCATACTTTTACATGAAATTTTCTAATGTCTAAATTTCCAATTTTAATTCAAAACCATTTAAATAGTCAGTAGGCCAAAGGGACCATGGGAGTATTTCCTATTCTTTATGATATATACATTCCTAAATTTAGACTATTCCAAGCAATTTTCTTTGTTACTTGAAATCATTTCACCTATTCTCCCAAGAGAATCATGGTATAATTCCATAATTCTCATTGAGCATCTCCAAGGACAGTGTGGAATTTGAAGTGAGTAGCGCCCCCTAGAGTTAAGCAATATTAGTACAGCCAATGTACATTTCCAAAAACATTCAGTATTGAGTTGAGTGAAAAATCCTTATCATGAAATGTTTGCTTGATTACACTGGCATTTACTGGGGCTCTTTAATAAGTTGGTTCTACTTTCTAGATTCTAGTGCAAATTTTCAAGAGACCATAGCTCCTAAGTGAGAAATACACACTCACACACACACACACACACACACACACACACACACTTTTCAAAAAAAAAAAAAAAACTTTTTTCAAGTAGATGCTTGAATTTACCTTTCTTCCGAAAGTATCTCAGCAACAAGTAGAGAAATGAGGATGATGCTAGGAGTGAGGTTCCTCCCATAGAAAGTGCAACTACCAGGGGCTGGGTGGGGCCGGTGGGGGCTGAGGAACAATTCAGAGAAAACAGCATAAGTAACAATTGGCTTTCTAGTCTTTCTGCCCTGGCCATTTTGGCCCTTTTCTGCATATTCATTACCAAGGGCATGAAGCAGATACTTGGCACTGAGGATTTAAAGAATTCTTCTCAAACCACCATTGAGGCTGTGTCCCAGTGTTCCCAGGCAGGACACAGCCTTGTCAAGCTCTTTGACACTGTCACAACACACCTCGGTTAACACTGAACTATCCTTGCCTTCTCTCTCTGACACTTCTTATTTCCTCCTTTAGTCTCTAGATCTCCCCTTTCCAACGATCAGAATCCCACTATGAGGGAGTAGGGAGAGATCTCAAGGGCAGGACAATGGAAATAAATCCTAACAGAGGAGAGTACTGGAGAGGGATGTGGGGTGACAGATAAAACATCTACTTGTCCCGCTGGCTGGAATCATTTTCTGTTTTCTTTCTATCCATCCCTGTAACCTTCCATTCTTATTTTGACATAATGAACAGTTAGTTTCCTTACTGTAGCAATACAACACCCCTCCTGCAACCTACTCTCCCAGGCAACCACCGCCAATCAATGCATCACCTTCACAAGTAGGCAGCATCCCAGACCAGTGTCCTGTGGCACCACAGGTCAGAATTGCAGATCCATTGAGTGTCCATCCATCAGGACATGTAAATTCACATACGGTGTCAAAAACCATTGCCCCACTACAGTTCATATTCATCTTTCCTGGAACTTCAAGGCTTGAACACTGTACCACTGTGAATGACATGTCCATGGGAGAAATTAGCAAAACCTTACCACAAAATGGCTAAGCTTATGTGCACCCTGAGAGCCTAAACTCAATAGTACCTTGACAGGAGGGCACTTCCTGGGTCCACTGTCCCTGGGATGTGCACTCAAGTTGAGCAGACCCATGCAATTTAAAGCCCTTGTTGCATTGAAAGGTGCATGAGGACGTGTAGGTGAATTCTCCAGTTGTAGCATGAGCACACTCTATGGAACCATTAAGGGGCTGAGGGACAGCATCACATTTCACAGCTGGAAGACAGGGACCATTCAGAGGTGTGAGCATTGGGCTATAGTAGGTGTCTTATGGTAACCAAACCACAAAGATGTTCAGTAGATTCTCTCTCACAGTGAAATTCACAGTATGTCACAGGGGGCCGGCAAGATGGCTCAGCAGGTAAAGGTAATTGCTGCCAGTCCTAAACAACCTGAATTTCATTTCTGGAACCCACATGCGAAGGAAAAATTTGACTCCTGAAAGTTGTCCTCTGATCTCCCCACACGGGCCTTGGAGTACACACACACACACACACACACACACACACACACACACACAGAGAGAGAGAGAGAGAGAGAGAGAGAGAGAGAGAGAGAGAAGCATTTTTGCTCCCTTCAACTCAAATCCTTGTTCACAAGAGAACTCCTAAGTAAACACTGGAAAGACACTTCATATGGCTCCACTGTGTCCTGGATAAGGCTTCATACTGGAAAACTGAGACATCAGAGAAAAGGTGAGAAAAAGGAGATCCTGGAGAATATTTGCCAATTGATGGCCAAGTTCAACTGGCACAAAGATATGCTCAAAGAACTCAAGATAAATCTTCATTACAAATTCCTGGGAAGGCAACTCTGTTTCCCTTATGATCCAATTTCTCCATGATAATGAAGCCTAATATGGGGCAACCATTAGCAAGATTGTGGTGCCTCCACATTGGTCTGATGTGCAGAGTGAGGTTAAAGGGAAATATTTCTATATCACCAAAGAACAAAGTATGGCTCATGAAGGCTTCCACGTGGTTTCACAAAAGAGAAGAAGCCTTCCCTGCAGACTTTGCCTGCTCCTGGAACTGATTCAATACCAAATTTGGATCTGAGGATGCCAGAACTGGATAAGGAAAGCTGCTTCTTCTGAACACCCTTGCTGTAAAGTGAATGGAGTTTGATTGCTTTTATGTCTGTATCAAAACAGTACTTGTAGGTGACAGACATCAAGCTGGGAACATTGTCATTGCTGCTGGTTATGGAGTTTAAAAGTGTATGATAAAAAGTGTGAGGCCCAAGTAGTGTTTTAATTATTCTGAATTTTATAATTTAAATAACATTTCTCTTACATTATGAATTCTCATTACTCTATTATGCTAATGCCAATGGTATTACATACAGTGCTGCTTCCTGGCCATGCATTCATTTTTTTTAAAGGTATTGGTGTTGCCCTCATAATTGGTATCTACAGTTATAGGGGACACTTGGTCTCATTGTCAATGTCCAAGACAAAAGATAACAGATGTTTTAGAAATGGAAGCATTAGATACAGTTTCTTCCTCACCTTTGCACACTGGGATCTGTGGTGTCCACTGCCCTTCTACACTGCATTCAACTTGGGCTGGCCCCTCCAACATGAAACCTTGCTTACAGGTGAAGTTGCAGGATGACTTGAAGGCAAATTCTCCAGCTGTTGAGTTGCTGCAGCTCACAGAGCCATGCTGAGGTTGAGGGATGTCATCACAGGTCACAACTGTAGCACAAGCACCCATTCAAATTAGTAAACCTGGCTTGCCCATTTCAAGCCTCAGGTGATCAAGAGAATGCAATGCATCTCAATATGGAAGAACTCTACCTTTGCATGATGGCTTCTCATTGTCCCAGATGCCAGATGAGGTACACTGTAGATTCTGAGCTCCAACTCGCCTGTACCCTTTGTCACAGTCAAATGTACAGGTTGTGTTCCATAGGAAGCTCCCAGGATTTGAGGAACATTCCCTGACTCCATTGTCAGGGTGTGTCAAAGCTTCACATTCAGCCACTGAGGAGATGATGGAAAAGAGATAGTTTCACACAAAGAACATTCCTTAAATGTTTTCATTTTCTACAGAATTGGGGTTTATAAAAGAAGGTGAAACCCATCTTCTTAGAGTGTAACCCAAACTCTTGATAATAATTCTTGATAACATATAAACCATAACAAATTTTTAGTACTTATTCATATTTCACCTTCTCTTATTTTTGCTTTCATTGTGCTGGGTGATCTCTGATCTATTTTATTACATATATACATAACAAAAAAATAACAGCCTCTAGACCAAGATTCATGACTTGGTGTAAAAGCAATATTAATATACAAAGAACCTGAGCAATGAATCTTTTTGATGGCTTCAGAGAACTGTGCAAAGAGATATTGAAGTTCCCTGATCAACGCAGTGCTAAAGTTGGTCCCATTTCATGGGAGTGTGAACAGAAAAGTCCATGAGAAAGTCATGAGGCTGTCTACATGTGTTTCCACTGTCTTCATGACACCTTCATTTAAATGTCATCAGAACCTCAGAAATACCCATTTAAAAAAAAAAGAATGAAAAAATCCTAGGTTAAACCAAACAGATACCAGAAACAACAAAAGAATTGGAAAAATTATAAAAAATTAATTAGAAAAGTTATAAGTTGGATAAAAACCTAAGGCAATGAGGAGTGAGAAGGTTTAGTGCATTTTGAGAGTGATCATGGCAGGCTACAGCACCCAAACTCCATTCTCCAGAGGACACACACTGTGTAGTAGTCTCTGTGCTGCAGGGCAGGTAGCCCCGTTTACCGCTGAAAGAGCAGGAGGAATTGTAGCTCAAGAGATCAAAAGGATGGATGCAGTTCAAGCTTCCATGGTCAGGGTGTTTCTCTACTTTGCAGATCACAACTCAAAAACAAGAACCAAGTCACATTTCTGCTCATCTCTCTCCTTGTATAGGAGAGAGGAACACTGAACACCATAATTATTGCTCATTGAACATTTCCTGTGGTTCAGGCTCTATAGAACGAACCATTAGACTATAAAGCTGTTTCTATTATTATCTTCATGCAGCTAGTGGTTGCATGAAGTTGTTGGGTTTAATACAATTGAAATATTAAATCATTTTGTAAGACTACTTTGTCAAAGTGACATAAGTTATAAGTAGTAAGTCTGGAGTTCGACCCAGGAGGCTCTGATTTAATAGTCTCAACAGCTATGGTGCTTTTACTCTGTGTATTCAGGTAGAGGAAACACGTGTCCCCAACTGACTAGCTATCTTTGGAGAAGGAACAAGTGATGACAAGACTTACCTTGCTCACAGTTGGGTCCAAGGAATCCAGGGTGGCACTTGCAAGCATAACTGTTGATGGTCTCTACACATTCGCCATGACCGCTGCAGGATGTAGAGGTACAGGAGGCTACAGAAAGCACAACCCAATGAGGACAATCTATTATTATAGTGGGTATCATGATGTTCTCTATTTGCTTTGTTTGTTTTTAGTCTATAATCTGTATAATCCAGATAACACTAATGGCATTAATGCTCAAGATTTTTACTGACATGGCCGATCCAAGTTCCAGGCTATTGTATAATGTAGTGATTGATAATAAATGGACATCAGTAGGAAAGCTCTTCTTGGCAACAAACAAGAAAAACTAATTCATAAATATCTCTGAAGATAGTTTCATGCCAAACAACTAAAACATGCATTGTATCTGAGTATATATACTCTATGTTTATAGAACTATATATCTATATAATGTGTATATCTGTACATATACCCATACATTCCTGACTTTACTCACACAAATCAGTAAATGTTTGGATGTATTACAACATCTCTTTAAAAAACAGAAAATATGCACAGCAGAGACCAATTACTTTGCATACTCTAAATATGCCAAGCTGCCTCCACATAGAATTAACCTCCCACCATCCAGAAACTTCATACCTGTGTAGCACAGAGCCATTTTCTTTTTGTCACATCTTTCGTCATTCCACATGCCTGGGTCATTGCGTCTTTTGATATAGATTTCTACACAATCCTCATTTCTTTGCTTGTTGTTTGGTTCACCTGGTGCCCAGTTCTTAGCCTCCTCGGTCAGAGGCTTTTGGGTCCCCACCCAGACCCATATGTTATTGACTTTTCTGATTCCGATCCAGTAATAACTTGGTGAGTATTTCAGATTGGAGTTTAGGTAATTGATCTCTTCTTTGTTCTGAATTGCCACCAGATGTGTGTACTTCCGTTGACAATATGCACTGGCTTCATCGTATGTCATGAGTTCCATGGAGGTGTTGTAATACCAGCCTAGGTTCTCTCCAATGAGAAGCACTGGGTTGGGTCAAGAACGGAATAGCAAAGTTTAGTCCTGCTTTATGTTGTCTTATTTTTGTTTTTTAGGGGTCTTTGTGATGGCCCAAACTATTGCTTTTAAAAGTAAAAATAGAAACATCTGGAGGGTCTAACATTTCTATGCATCACTGTGTGACTGGCCACCCCACTAATGCTTCATAAGAACCACAATGTAATATTCCAACTTCATAGCACACTGGAAGTCATAAAAAAGAAAGTTTTGTTGGATGCTATATTACTCCTGTTTGAGCCCCATTCCAGGAACCAAATGAATGAATCTTTACAATGCCTGAACGAGAATCCTTCCCATGTAAGAAAACTATTCCTACCAGAGGGCAGAACCCTACTGGGAGAGATCAATGGTCATGCTAACCCCACTACAAAGCACAGAACAGCTCCACACAACAAAATACCCTATTTTCTTAAAACTCAGTAGGGTGAAGATGAGAGACCCTGGTTTCCAATGACACCAGCTTACCAAAAGTGAGAGAGGAGAGAAACTGTGAGGCATTCATGATTTCGGCAGTTCCTCTCACCCAGAGATTTGGCTGGAGATCTTCTGAGGAAAGAAAATGCAGAATTAGTCAGAGAAAGAAATTTTAACAGTGGTTACTCACACCCTTCTATCATAACATTTAAGGCAGGACCATGAGATTTTAGGTAAGGATTCCTGTACCTCATTACTTATTTCAAAAACATTGACTGTGGTGGATATGACTTTAAGATTTTCATCATTTTAAACCAAGAGAAAAGGCAGGCTTTAATGACAATGCTCTAACAGCTTAGACAGATCTTTTTATCAGAAGGCCTTTTGTGTTTGCACACACATATATAAGTCTACGTTTGGGTCCAAGGCTTCTCTGGTTTGGAGTCTGCACTTACTGTTTTGTGAAATGGTTGCTGGGGTGTTGGATTTCTCAGGTGTATTACTGCTGCTTCTGTCTCACCGTTCTTCTAGCAGTTTTGATGTGTAGTCAGTCAAGGATCACTGAGTATGTCTTCTTCTAGAGCCTCTTTATAGAGGAGCTGGCTTCCTGTGAGTCATAGGACATTATTATCAAAATCTGGTAAAGAGGAAATCCTCAACCACATCCCAAAAGTTTTCTTGGAATGTCCACCACATTAAAAAAAAAAAACTTTCCTAGTGATGTCAGAAACTCTATCCCTCTGAGCTAATCCTTTTTCTAGGCTCTTATAGTTTGCATGCAAATGTGTGGTTTTAATTCCTGTGTCATAAAGTCTAATTACTATTATCACACACTTGTAGAAATTCATTTCATAAACATAAGCAAGCTCTAAATATATTATTAGATGTGACCTATCATTCTCAGTTTTCTCATACACAGATGACATTATTGTATCAACACCCACTTTCCCTTCATTCACCTGCGATCTTAGCCTGTTCCAACAGGCACCATGGTACAATGAAGAGATTCATGAACTGTATGTTCATTCACACATAGTTTTTCTCACATACATCTCCACTAGTTACAATGAAGTTACAAAAAAGTCTTCACTCGTCTATTCTAAATAATGCCTTGTTTCTGCAAAATAGGATTAAATGGGACATAAAAATTTACCCCTTCTACCTTCCCAACATTTTGCATTTTCTAGATATTGTCTCTATCTCAATCCTTCATCTCAGTTTATTTCTCTAAATATGATTGTTATTGTTTAGCACATGTAGAAATATAACCCCACTTAAATTTAGGTAAGATTAAAACTATAAGTTGTGTTCATACATTATCTGTCTACATATCTACCTATAAATTATAAATGTGTGTCTAATATTTTTTAAAAAATCATAGGAAAGTAAGTGTGACACGTACACATCACCCTGGCATTTGGGAGGCTGACGCAGGGGTTAGGAGGCACCCTGTGCTCCAGCCTTGACTACAAGTGTGGGACACCATCTCAAAATGAGGGAAAAATTATGTGCATTGATTCAAATCTTAAAACAAAATTTACCAGGCATGTTGATTAAATACCTAACAATTATTTTTGCAAATTAGTCATAAACAAACCTCAAGCATACATTTGCACTTATGGATTTTTCATAACTAAGTTTCTAGTTTCAGCATTGGTGATACAGTATCTGTAGGGATGCAATACTTATTTAATGACCTAGACCCCAGTTATAATCTCTAACATTCTGGGTGCTTCTTCTGTAGCTGGCTTTATTCTGAGCATGTTTCTATGTTTGTTTGTATTGCTTTTTAATTCCATCATTTGTGAAATGTGTACCCTATCCCTGTTTTATAAATGAGGAAATTAAGGAACCAGTCTCTCTCTCTCTCTCTCTCTCTCTCTCTCTCTCTCTCTCTCTCTCTCTCTCACATGTATTCCTATAATCTATCATCCATCCATCCACCATATCTATACACATCCCCTATCTGTCATCCATCTATGTGTCTATCATCTGTCTACCTATCATCTGCCTGTCGATCAGTCAAGCCAGGGTTCATCTCATCTAACAGCATAGAGATATGATGTTGAAACCCAGGCAACCAATTTCTAGGGTTCTCTCCCTTGACTGCCCAGACCTTGGTGATACCTTTAGTTGTTTGCCCATGCTGAGGTCTCTGATCTTCCTCACTCCCCAGTCTTTGCTTTCTTCTTGAAAGCCCCTTCATCACTGAAGCTTTCTTCCAAGGGGTATGAGGCATGGGGGCAGGTAAAAGACCCAGAGCAGTAAATAACAGGGAAAGGATGACATGAAGACAGGCCCTGGCTCCTTAGCAAATAAAAAATAAGTGGGAAAGAGAAGATAACAGACAAGGCAACTGTGCCCTGCCTGAAAGGAGGTGCTGGCTCTAGTCCACAATTGTCAAAAGGTCCTGGTCTGCGGCAAGCTTTCTCTGAGGCCAAAGGACAAAATGTGGATTCTAAATTTATACCAAAAGGGCTTTAGGTAAGAACTCAATATAAGAAAAAAGGTAAGAGCAGTTATAAAAAAGATTTGTAAATAAATGGGGGTTTCATATAAGGAAGGTGTCATATACATTACATCTGAAGAAACACACAAATATAATGGGAGGTATGTTATTCCAAATGCACTCACCCTACCATCCTGCAGTCCCAGAATATTTTTTATGTCTTGCCCCTGACTAGATCTGAAAATCCTATGGGTGGGTACTTGGAGCTGACAGAGTTGCTTTTCTAGTTCAGGTTGCTGGAGAAGCCATAAAGAGACATCCTGGGGAAGCTTGGGGTATGTGCTGAGGTGAGGGGTAGGCAGCCTTCTGTAGTTGCATGATCTGATTCATTCTGTCAGGTACTAATTAGGGCCAATCACTTTTGCTGGGTTGTGGAAGGTGGGTGGAAAGGGAAATTAGATGGGACTTAAATGGTTGGGGTTTTGGATATTAATTCCTTTCAAATATAACAAATTTCATGAGCGACAACCTGCTTAGTGGTGCCTTGGTCTGTACTAAGTCTCCCAAGCTCTGAAGCCAGTTAGTTTTGTACTACTCAGTTTTTTACCTAGGCTAATACAGACCGTTGAGGATCTCAGCCTTGGGAGAAGGAATGTCCTACATGAATGTGACCCATTAAATGAAAAAAGAGGCAAGGATGCAGACACAGGCACACCTTAGGCTGCCCATCAGGTACCACGCATCCCTGCTTCGTTAGCACTTTCTTCAAGTCCTTTGTCTTTCTGTCCACACCCTTTACATTGAGGTTTTTAATTACTTCAGTACTCCTGAGAGAATGAGAGTCCACCAAAGGATGTAGGGTCACTGAGACAACTGTTAGAATGCAAATCGAGACTGTCCTGTAGAGAAGGCAGAGTGTTGGGTCAGGTGGAAAGTAGCCCTGGCCATAACCATGTGTGACAAAATAAACAATTTTTGTAGATGTGCCAATTCATGTTTCAACCATCACTGCTGAGTAACTGGGAAGTGCAGGCAGTGGCCTCCCCTCCTGCCTCCTGGAGTGGAGCTCCCCATTCTTCTACCTCTGGAAAAGCCTTGTTTTACCACTTATTTTTGGATTTTGAAAAGCCTCAGAATCTCCAAATTCCTATTTTGAGGACATCTAAATTATCATTATAGATGTGGATAGAGGAAGAAAATCCTAATAAAGATCCAATCCAATTATAGTGTGCAAACACTTCTTTTCCACATCCAAATGATAAATGAAGGTTAATATCAGTGTGCCGCTACATCTTAGAGTGACATTCCTTGTTTGATCGAAGCATGAGTACATTTGATGTAAAATTGGTCAGCTTACCTCTCAATTTCCCAATAATTCACTTGGGATTTGTAGACAGTTCCAGACAGCCAGCTAGGGCAGGGACAGTGCTGCCCACTCTGCTCCTCACACTCACGGGAAGATGTGGACAAGACTGTATTGTGGAAAAGAGTCCCCTGAACATCTCAGTAAAATGGATCTTAGCTGGGCATGGTGTCACGAGTTTGAAATCCCAGAGTTCAATATGCTGAGCAGGAGGACTGCCAACTCAAGGTCCCTTTGGGCTACACAGTAAGTTCAATGCCTATAAGAGTAAGATTGTGAGATTCCCCATGCCCCCACACACACTCCACACACACAGCTGAGTGTTAAGAAGGTAAATGACTGTAGAACTTAGAACAGGAGTTCAAGGCCAGCTACATAGTGAGTGTGAGAACAACTTGGGTTACACAGGGGCTTGCCTTAAAACAAAGCCAAAACAAAACAGCCACCAAAATCAAACAAAAGAAAGCACATCCTTAGGTGTCAGAATTTTGACCAAACTGGAAAGCTGAGGTATATGAATGATTGGCTTTGTGACAGCGATGAGCAAAAATAAAGGGAGTTTTGGCTGCCATTTTGAATTCTTACACATGGGAAGTAGATGGCTTATTATTACCAAGGAAGAGAGGTGTGTGTGTGTGTATGTGTGTGTGTGTGTGTGTGTGTGTGTGTGTGTGTGTGTGTGTACATGTGCGTGTGCATTCATTTTCTTTATATTCCCCTCGGGTTCATAAAGACTTTCTAACCCCACTCCTGGAGCTTCCGAGATGATGAGAGACTTAAGGTCTTAACACAGCTTGGCTTCCTGCTTGGCATGGCTTCACTTCCTGCTTTGTTTCTTGCTTGGCAGCGCCTTATCTCAGTGCTTCTGAACTTTCTGTTTGGGGATTAAGGAATAGCTAATGGGAATATCTTCTAAATGAGCTAGCTCTGGTGAATTCCCTAAGCAGAAGAAGCAAGTTGGGGTGGGTTTTTTAATTAGTTGCATTTTTCCTGACTGTAAACAGGCTCCTTGGTGACTGATGCTAGCAAGGGCAAGGGAATGTTCAGGAAGGGAGAAAAGTCCCGGTCTGTTTTCCTTGGCCACTTTTGCAGCTTATTTTAAAAGTTAGATTTTTTCCCCCCTCAGGAACTATTCTTAGATTTGTTTTCAGTCCTTTCCAGTAGAAAAATCTCAGCCTGGTCATGTTTGAAAATAAAACTTTGGCTTTTTTATTGTTCCCAGAAAGAAAATGTAGCAGTTCCAAATAGCATTAAAATGATACCAAATGGCCAAGGG